GTCACCTGCGCTGGCCACTGCTGCCCAGCTGCTGCCTCGGAACATCCCCAGCCACCCATCTCTGCCAGCCCACCCCGTGCACCGCGATGCCTCCCCAGCTGGGGAAGGAGTACCGGCAGAGCACAGCGGGGTGACCGTGCCGGTGGGGACGCAGCAGGAACAGGGGGGTTACACTGTGTCACAGCCCCACCGCAGCTGCCTGGGCCACCGGCACACTTACATCTTCTCAATGAGCTCCTTCTCATCCAAGGCACCGGGCAGGTCTCGCTTGTTCCCCAGGACTAGGACCTGCAGGAGGGGAGAGGTGACACCTGAAGCTCCTGGCCACCGGACCAGGTGGAAACCTGCTTCTGCCACCCAGAAGTGGACCCTGCTTGAGACGCAAGACAGCCCTAGCCCCTTCACTAGGGTGTGCCCAAAGAAAACCCCTTCAGTGGGCAATCAGAAGGCAGAGCACTTCAATTAACAGCCTTAATTAGCCCATACACAGCATCTCCTGTGTACTCTCCAGTCCCAGTGAGAAGCTGGCCCCACAGCACATCCTCCCTGAATGGCACCAGCATCTCTTGTGCCATCTGGGACATTCTCCCAGGAGCCTCTTGCTGTCTTTGAGCAAAAAATCAAGTGAAATGGCTAAAACTGACGTTATCAGGTATGAGCGAGATGCAGATGCCGTGCAAAACCTGCTTTCCGCAGGCAGCCAGCCCAAAAAAGCAACAGCTGTTTGCACCATCCACTGATCTCTCCTTACTTCAAGGCCTTTCACATCCACAAAGGCATCCTCAGACTATGAAACAAAAATAATCACCCGGCAGGATCGTTCATCCCTCCGGAGCGCACCACACAACTGTCATCTGACAAGGACAGCACTGAGGCTGCGGCCGCATTCCTGGGGTGAGCTGGGGCCTCTGCAGCAGCACAGTAATGCAGCATCCCCCAATTTAAATTTGGAGACTTGTTCTCAAAAAAGAGCACTCAGAAGGGCTGCAAATGCAGCACATTATGTCAGGAGCTTAATTCAGTTAGCAGCCAATGTTTGGGATCTGAGCAAGATCCTCAACAAGCTCCTTTCAGAGGATGCCGGTTTTGGATTTTGGCGCCGCTGCCACAGCCCACCCCCTGCAAATGTCACAGCCCAGCAGCCGCTCTCCTACGAGACAAGACCTTAATGTCCCACCATAAATAAGGTGCAAATTCATGCGAGAGGACAGATGTCACACATCGGGGGGGCTTTTTTTGGTCTCTTCTAAAGCTCCCTTCCCTGCTGGTTGGCCTGGTCCTGGGCTAAAAAGCATCACTTCCCCAGCTCCTGCAGGAGTGCAGCGGGGAAGGGGGCCCCCTCAAGGAAGGGGATCCGCTCCCCAAATCTGCTCTGCAAGATGCAAGCCCCTCACTGCAAATCCTGGCAGCCACCAGGCTGGGGACCGTGAGCGGCTGGGGGAAACCTATCCAGGCAACAGCTCACCGGGATGCCCTGGAGCTGCGGCTTGTCGAGCAGGTTGTGCAGTTCATTCTTGGAGGCCTCTATCTTCTCCTGGTCGGCGGCGTCCACCATGTACCTGCAAGGGAAGGGACACCCCCTGAGCGCAAGCACCGAGGCTGCTGCACCCCGGTGCTGCGCCGAGGTTTGTGCCACCACCAAACCTTGCTCGCATGGCAGCCGCGTCGCCCCACCAGCTGCCAGGCCAGTGCGTGGAGGTGATGGATAACGGGATCCTTCCCCCAGCACCCCTCTTCCCAAGGAAGGCTGTGGGGCTGAGAGCCTCTCGTGTCTACCAGGGCAGTGGGGGACCTCCCTGTCCCCATCCCCACAGGGGCCACCCCATTGCCAGCAGGGACACGGCGGGCGAGGGGAGCCCAGGCGCTGCCTGGGCAGGAGAAGCTGCAAAACACACGTTGTCCCCAAGCACCCAAACAAAGCTCATCTGCACATGGCAGCTCCTTACGGAGACACACGATACAAGACAACAAATAGAGAAGACAAGAGGAGCTGATGATGGAGAAGAGCAGAAGACATCGACTGGAGATTCTGGCAGGGGGAAGAACCTGTTTGTCTTCTCTACGGGAGCAATCTTGGGCATGGGGCACAGAGCAAAGGGCACGCAAAGCCAGCAGTCAGCAATGATTGCTCTGAGCAGCCGGGGGAAGATTTAGGGAAGGATTTAGCTTTTACGGGCAGACACCCATCCTGCAAAGGGTGTAAGTGAAGCCAAAACTGGGGAGAAGAACTGATCAAAGCAGTCTTTATTTTGAAGATCAAGAAGGTGGGAGAGAAGAAGTGAGAAACCATCAAGCTTCATCAGGCCTTGTGGGGTTTATTAAAAATAGGAAAAGAGCCTTTAGCTACTGAAGCACTGAACTCAGGAAAACGTGTATGCCTGTACCAAGAGGGAGAGGGAAAAACACCACCCAGGCATTGCCACGAGCTTTCAGCATGCCAGATGGGGCAGGAGGGCTGAAGGCAAGAGAAAAGGACACAACGGAGCTCAAGGGAGCAAGGCAGACTGGAGCGTGACCTGGATGGCCACATCTCCTTTCATTTCCTCTCAGCTAGATGGGCCACTTTGGAAAAATTATGAAATTATGGAAGGAAGCAGTAAAAGGAGTGAAAAAAGCAGGATTCTGTCATTTCCAGCAAAGGTCACTGTAATAAAAAGTGTCAAGGACATGTCCTGACATGGTGACAGGCAATAAGGGCAGGACCAGACACTGCTGTCCCAACAGGCAGGACAAGCAGTCCCTCACTCCTCCTCACCTGCCAGACCTGCAGTTGGGAAGGGCAGTACAGAAACCCAGCCCTCCAAAATCTCAGGGCGTTGTCAATTGGTGAAGATCACATAAATCCGATTTTCTAATTGGGTTTAAGCAACACTGATGTGGTCTTCTAGGGTAGATTCTTGTCCTTCAGAGCAGGCAGCCTGCTTCCCATGAGCATCTTGCCAGGCTCATCCCCAGCCTGGACTCCCTGGGACTGCGCTTACTGCAACATTTGCAAGCAGGGGACATGCAGGGACACTCAGAGACTTGCTGACAGTCAGCAGCAGGTGCTCAGGGAGACTCCTTCTCTCAGCACGAGATTCATTGGGCAACACACAAACACCACAACCTGGAAACACGCTGCTGGCGGCTGCCCGTAAAACCAGCCTCTTGGAAAGGGCTGAGCCACACTGATGGCCTTTGCTCAGCCTCTGTGATGAACAGGTGATGAACAGGGGAAGCACAGGAGCCAGGAAGGGCAAGATCCGAGGAACAGAGCCGGGCTGAGTGATGCTGGAAGGGGAGGGTCTGCCATAGCTGGCAGGGACCTGGCTGCCCTGTGCTCAAAGCCCATGGGGTCACCAGTCCCAGGGGGAAGCATCTCAATTCCCAACACGGGCATGCAGCTCTGGCAGTGAAGGCACCGCAGCTCCCCCGGCTCAGCCTTGCCCAGCACCCTTGCGTGGGGCGACAGGACCGTGCCCCTGCCCGCTGGCGGGCTCAGCATCAGAGCATGAGTGATGGGGCTCTCAGCTCCCAGGGGTACTCACACGATGGCACTCACTCCGCGGCAGTACCGCTCCCACATGCTGCGAAACCGCGGCTGGCCACCGATGTCCCACAGCTGTGACAGGGAGAAGGCATCATTACCCCCCCACCTGCCCGTTATCCCACCGTCCTGCCCGTGAACCTTCCCCATGCGGCCACCCGTCAGAGCACCTGGCATGCACCAAACCCACCCTCATCCCCTCCTCTTTGTCTCAAACCTAACAAGGAGGCTCCCGACTCAATAAAGAAAGGAGACACCTCAGGAAGGGCAGCCGGAGGGTGTTGAATACCTCCTGCCATGTACCTCTGCTGGCACGGAGGGACCCCCTGGCCCAAGCTGGGGGACTCCTCCCCATACCCACCGCCCCTCCTGGCCTTTCGCTGATGTATTTGCCATTTCAGAACACTCGGCATGCTCTCAGAAACGTTTCTGCAGCAGGCAGAGATCCCCAATCAGCTTTTCAAGTGCTTCTCACTGCTATTTCCCAGTCCAACCCGGGGCCCTTGAAAGATCCAGAAGGGATAGAAACCTCCTCTGCCTTTACTGTCGAGGCAGAGATCACCACTGCAAACCATGACCTGTTTTTCCCAGCGCTCCCACCCTCAGCAAGGTGACTGCATCCATGAATCTCTGCCAGGAAGCCAGAGATATACAAAAACCTCCAGCTTTGCAGCCCGGACTAGCTATTACTGCAGAGGTCTGGACCTCCTACATCCCTTCACCATCTCCTCTGGTGGTACCTGCAGAAACCTAACAGGGCAGATCTTCCCAAGTGCAGCTGGGGCTGCTGGTATCTTTCAACCTCCAGTACAAGTCCCACCAGTCTCCCTTCACCCCACTTTTCATCCCAAGACCCCACACCAGTGGTAACATCTGCACCTTACCTTTATGGTGACGTTCCCCTTGGTGATCTTCCTCATGTTAAAGCCCACCGTCGGGATCATGTCTTCATTGAACTGTCCTGACTGCAAGGAACAAGGTGAAAGAGCATTATGAGGAAGCCCCGCCAGCCTGACCCAAGCAGGGCAGCGAGGCTGACAGCCTGCCTAGAAATAACCCCAAATGCTCTGCCAGCCCTGCAGCAGGTACAGCACAACCCTCCTCCTGGTCCATACCAGGAGCAAAATTAGAGCCAAGGAGATAAATGCCTGCAGGAGGGAAATGCTGCTGCTGCTGCTGCTGCTGCTGCACGGGGAGCAGAGCCCCTGGGTGCCCTGGTGAAGCCCCCAGCCCCGCGAGCTGCCGCCCCAGCCCCAGACATGCTGCCGTCTCGGTGGGGTGGCAGAGGCTCGCCCAATCCAGCCCTTTCCAGGTGGGATTCCCAAGCCCTTTGCGGGAGGAGGCAGAGACCTTCACCCACTGCAGTGACCTCAGGTCAGCCACGCCGGGCCCGAACCTCTCCCACAAAACCCACTGGCAGCCCCGCAAGGAGGGTGGAGGCAGGCGGCCGGGCTTCCCGCCCAGGGGAGCCACCTCCTGCAACGGCTCCTTTTCGTCAGTGAGGCCAGGGGCTCTGGCACGTTTCCTGCGTCAGATAATTTACAGCACAGCCCAAACCAGACTGACTTCTGCTTCCCTGCAGAAGCCTGCCTGCACTGGTCCTCCAGCCCCTGCACCCTGCCTGTGCATGAGAGCGCCCTGCTCATGCTGGGTGACATGTGGGGATGCAAAAGGTCCCCTCTCCCCCTCCCCAGGAGCTGCCACCGTGTGTCCTCCAGCAGCACAGCTCTGAGCCGCGTCAGGCAGGAGAAGTGTGAAATCGCTGCAGATCTGCAGCATCCCAGTGCCGCTGCAAAACTAGCTTAGTCTTGTCAGAGCAGCGAGCAGGAACGGTCCCTCTGCCACCGTGGGGAGATGCTGGCTTGCGAGCCCATGTGCCCAGCACCACACTGGAGGGACAGGACGGCGCTGGTCTGTTAAAGCCCACCCCACCTTCCAGTTTGCTGCTCAAATCCCAACACCACGAGATGGTCCTGGCCTGAGCAGCACAGAAGGACACTCCAGGCAGCCCCAGCAGCATCCCTGGGGCAGGAGGCAGGAGCTGCCACAGCCCTTCACCCTCTGCCTCTTGCAGCCTCCTGCCTGGCGGCAGCCTCACCGGGACTCAAAACAGGTTTATCTTCTTTGCTTTTTAAATGCGTCCTTGTGGAAGGCCCTGCTGCAGGATGCAAGGGAAGCTGATGGGGAAGAGGGTTTGATAACCAGGATAACTGGCACTAGGGCTTTTGGCCATCAATGCCAGAAACCTGCAGGAACCACCAACCGCAGCCAAACTCATCCCAGCAGCTCTTTACTGGGTTAAAATCTCGGTTTCTCTAGGACTTTTCTGGGTTTTCTTTCAGTTAACACAAACCTTAAAAAAGGAAGGCAATTTATGCTATTTTCTGATAAGCAGAATTTTGTGCCTGGTTGAGCCCACGGCTGCTCCAGACCCACCACGTCAGCAAGTCCCCAGGGTTTTCCTGACCTCTTCCAACGGTTCTGCAATACATGCTGCTTCCCTTTTTCATTTCCCTTTTGTGTTCATCAGCAAAGCCTGGCAGCCAAGGGGTCACCGAGCCACAGTGCACCCAGAAACCACACCGGGGACTGGCAGGGAAGGGCATCAGGGGAGAGGAGAGGAAGCAGGCAGGAATCGCTCTACCACCAGCCAACATGGGGGATGTCTCCTGCAGACTGAGGTTCAACACACAATTTGGCCTTACGGACCAGGTTTCAAGGAATTATCAGACTTTGATCAGAAGATGTGGAGAGCAATTGCTCAAGAGCTCTAGGAAGCTGCAGGCACCTCCACTGGGGATCCTGGACTACATCATGGGAACTGCTGGCTGTGCCACAGTCACCTGAGACATGATTCACATGTGATGGTAACTCTTCTTCCAGGAAGGAATGCGCTGCAGGAGCCAGGAGTCACCTCTGCTTTCCCCCGTGAGAGATGGGAGCGAGCACATCTCCATGAGCAAAGCACGGCCTTGCTCCCTGCCCCAAATCCTTCCCCTGCCACAGCACCTGCCTCCAGGCTGCCCACAACCAAGGGGCCATCACAAAACCACTTGTGCTGTCCAAAAAAGGCTGGGCTGGGAACGTGACACATTGTGGTCCAGGATGGTTTGCACATGGTCCCTGCTGTCCTGGCACCTGCGGTGGCATCTTCAACGTGCTGCAACACGCTCAGCTCCTTCTGCATCAGCTGCTCTCTGAAAGCAACGCTGAACAGCAGAAATATGATGTCCCCTCTTCCCTCTCCAACTGTCCTAGATGTTGACGCCTTCCCCCAGATTTTGGTTATGCAATGGACATAGCATCCACGCTGACCGCAGAGATCACGCCCAGCCGCACCGATTGCTTGGGAATGGGATTCTTCTGGGAGGCACAAAAATCCTTGCAGGCAAGATGGATTTTGTGGCTACAACAGGTGGATCAGGTCTTTGCAGGCTCTAGTTCATCGCTGGTTTTGCCAGGGTCCCCTCAGCACCCTGCCTCGGTGCCCTGGCTGGAAGACATTTCCGTGGAATGGAATGACCTCTCTACCCAGCCCCACCACTTTCCAGTTGGGTTACTGGGAGAGGCCGCCAGGATCCAGCTTTTGCAGGGGCGAGTGGTGCCCCCAGCTCACTCTGAGCCCCATCCTCTGCCACATGCACATGGACACCGTGTCACCTGCTACTTCAGCCATTGTCCCCTGCTCAGCCAGCACCCAGGACCTTGGCTTGCTGGCATACACAACCAACCAACCTCAGCCTCCACGCCACATCTACCAGCTCTGACAAGCAGCGTGCAGAGCCGAGGCGGCCAGGCCCTGCTCCTTGCCGTGGCCAGGCGGCTGTCACTAGCACAGGATGACACCGCTTTGATGCAACCTGCTCTTGATAAATTGCTGCTGGCTGTTTTGCAGCCCCATATCCCCAGGCGCTCACAAACAAGCCATTCCCTGGGGACCGGAGATGGCAGCGCCGAAAGCCCAGCCCCAGGTCATCCGAAGTCCTGTCTCCACCAGAACATGGTCCTCCATGGGGCAGAGGCAGATGCCCAAAGCGCCCTTGGTTGGATGGCTCCCACCAGTGCCTGGACCATCCCCAAAACCACCCAACCTCACGCTCCTGCAGGCATCTCCCGACACATGACACAGCCCCGAGTCCCTGCCAAACCCTGAGAGAAACGCTGCACAGGCTTGCTCCGGTCCCCCAGCAAGTCTCGCATCACCAAGTCAAGCCATGACAGCCCCACAGACGGATGTTTGACTCCGAGTACCCCACTCGGATGGGAAAAAGCCAAATTCAAGTCAAGCCTTTACAACATTTCCCTTCGACAGCGGGTCTTACAGCTCTTTGGGGCTCTGAGTATCGCAGGGCACCTACAGCCTGGAGCCCTGTGTCCCCCTGCAGAAGGCACTGGAGGGGACAGGGCTGCCCCCGAGCGCAGCACAGCCTTCCCAGGGAACCCAGAGACCTGTGAACAGGGGCTGCCACCCAGAGCCAGGCAGAACGGAGCTACCCAAGGGCCTACCCAAGGGCTGGCAGCAAGGAGGAGGAGCCACATGGGTCTGAGAATGCAACAATCCCGACTTTTGCCCCAAATCCTCAGCATGCTTTGGTTTCAAAACCTCCATGCATTGGAACTGCGCTGAAGTTCCTGCACTGAAGACCCCCTCCACCCCAAAACAGACGGTCTCACCACCACTACCTGCAATTAACATACAGAGTCTGGCTCTGCAGCACCCCTCAGCTTGGGAATTCAACATTGCAGGCATTCAGCATGGTGGAAAACCCACAGGCCCCTCCTGGCCATGCTCCCAGTGATGCTACCATAGCTGAAACAGGCTGTGCTGCCCGTCCTGTTCCCATGGGCCCTGTCTTCAGGGCACTCTGTATCTCAAGAGCAAAAATGGGATCCGGGGACAAGCCTGTGGATGGCAGCCAGGCCGTATGCCAGCGTGACTGACACTGCCAGTAAGCCCACAGGAGCCAAGCAAGACGATGCCCTCCAGGACAGATTCATCCCACTCCCTGCAATGCAGCTAATGCTTTTTTTTTTTTTTTTAGAGTACGGTATCACTGAAGCTCAGTTTCTTTCATTAAAAACAAGGTTTTTCAGAGGAAAGGGAAAATCCTTGGGCTGCTTTTGCTTCTTCAGCACTGCACCACAGCCCGAAACACCCTGGATGGCAGCACTGAGGCTGCGCCGACCCAACACCCTGTTTGAGGCAGAGATGCACAGACACATGAGATGCTCCCAGCAGCTCCCCAGGGATGCGCAGCACAGCTTTCCACTCCGAAGTAGAGAAGGCATCTCTGTACAAGAGCTGCAGCAATGTTTGCTCCCACCTCCGTCCAGACAGACCCTGCAATTGCCTACAAATTTATTAGCAGTTGCTTTTGTTCAGGATATGTCCATAATGAGGCAGCATCTGGATGGAGGGACAGATGTGGTGGCCACATGAAGCGCTTGGTGGCTCTAGAGAGACTGCTTGCTGCTGGCCCAGGCTTTGGGGTGCTGGACGTACGCAGCCCCCACCAGCATCAGCACTACTTGATGGCAGCACAGAGTCTGTTATAGAAACTGGCGAAAAGCAAAAGCCTCTGGATGAAAGCAAGGCACCAAGAAGGTCCCCTTCTGTGAGCTTGGGGAACGATGCTCTGCACCACACATCCCAGGCCAACCCTGCAACGCGTGGGCAGCAGGCAACGCCTTCAGAGGACTCCAGATCCTTTGGGACAAGGCAAAGGTTGCAGTTTAGCAGCTCTGCCCTTAGCATCACCCTCTTGAAGAAAACAGAAGCAACCTCTCTCCTATTCAGTGCACGTCTCCAAATACAATGGACTCACGTGAGCTGGCTGCATGGTACCTACATGTTTCTGGCTACCCAGCCTGATGGATGGGCCCAGCAATGGAACCTTGAAGACATGGTTTGTAATCCACCCCCAACCTGTAACATCTCCATGCCCCTGCTCTGTCACTG